GGATGATTGGGGGTTGCAAGGAGTTTGAAGACATTTCAACGCATATCAGAATTGAAATTTGCTTGGAATTTGCTGTGATTAGTCGAAAAGTATGTCGAAAATTATTTGTAAACTAATGTATTTCTCGTGAATTTAAATTTACAGTAAAAGATGTGTAATAATATTATTATAATACATTTAAATGCATGTTGTGGATCACAGTGCGGAAAAGTTCATATTACGGATGTAAGACATTTTATCTTTGCATTGGGAAAGGGAACAAAAACCAAAACAAGAGTTGTTAGTAAATCGTCTCGTAATGAGATCTAAGATATATGTCTATTTCAGTTTGCCAATTGTGCTTTAGATTTTAACGTTTCGTATATATTTTAACCTCTATGTGGAGGACAATTTAATTTCCACTAGAAAGTTGTTATGCATTACAAATATAACTTTATTTAATTAACAACTTAATATGATTTCATTGTATGAATAATAAGCACCATGAAGAAATGGACAACCAACTTGCATGGGTATAATTAATACGGTTTTCTTTTTTTGCTTGCAGATCAAGCAGTATTTTGAAGTGAATAATGGCATCGTTCACATTATGGTAAGCTAAATAGAAAAAATTCTATACTCTACTATTTGCACCAAATGGCGCTCCTTTTCCACTATTTTCTGTAGCATTTTTTCTGTTATTGTATTTTTGTCCGCATTTTAATTGTGCTCAAAGACATTTTGAAAAGTTCATTTACATACGCATGATGGGAAATGGTAATTTTTTTTCACTGGTTGGATTTTATTTTTACAGGATGCGTTTGATGTTACAATCAATACCAAAATTCAAACTAAAAGCAATCTACTACTCATTGATTCTCAGACATTACATTGAGATATTTTCAGCCAGATATCTTCAGGAGCTGAATTTGAGTGAAAACAATAGAAGTGATTGTTATGGTTATAATAACACTACTATAGCTACTACAATTATTATAACAATCACTTTTATTGTTTTCACTCCATTTCAGCTCCTGACGATATCTGGCTGAGCTGATTCTTCTGGCTGAAAATATCTCAATATAATGTCTGATTTTATTATTATTTCTCTTCTTCAAATTATAGACAATAGAATTGAATTACACAGAGAGCTCGCTGCTTTGCGGCCATTAAAATTGTAGCTGCAAATTCAGAATGAGCTCACGTCACGCATTATACACCGTTGAGGTGGGTGATACCAAATTCACTATTCATAAACGATACCAGAATTTAAAGCCGATTGGATCAGGTGCACAAGGAATTGTATGGTGAGTGCATTTACAGCTTATAATTATACTCGATTTGAATCCAATTTTTCATGTATCAATATTATTTGGTGAATCCTTTTGTTTTTTTAAATGGAAAATGAAGTTACTATTAGTATATTCTTTTGTTGAACACAATTTCCTTTTCTTGGATAAAGTTTTCCATTTAGACAAGATTAGATTATTATCAACATGATTATCAATAATAACAATATTGCATTAAATTGGAACTACCATTTGTGACTTTATTTTCATGTCAACGCCTGAATTTTTTATTACACTGTGAGTAAAATTTCCAGTTTCCTCGGTGTGATATATATGACAGTTTTGAAAAAACCGTTCTGAATATAAAATGCTGTGATATCTTATAAACACATTATTGCTTTCAAATTCAGTAGTAGGGGGTTTTTTGGTAACCGAATATGTCATTATTTTCACGATTCCACCTATCCATGAACAGAAATTTGAAAACAAAAATGTGCTTAAGACATTACAGTATTTTTAACTCAGAACGTTTTTTTCAAAAATGGTGCGCAACTTCATCAAACCAAATACACTGTCGAATTTGACGGACCATGAGTGACCACAATCAGTATGTCATATATCTCGTTGTATATAGCACCGAACCCTTCACTCACAGTGTTATTAAGTTCGATTGTACTAACAAGGATACATCACTATGGGTTGCAGGCGTTGAGCCAAACGACATATGGCACGGTGTAGGCCTAGGCCAGACTACCTACGCCACATATCCCGTTCGGGCCCATGGGAGTAATTGTTTTTTGCTACAGCCTTTGATAGTTTTCATACTCGAAGGCATTTGGATGAATTTTAAAAACAACTTGCCGATTATCATCTGGAAACTCGTATTGGAGGGTTTTTTGGAACGAGAATCTGGCGTTTGTTTTGCGATACAATCACGTTAAAATACACTTTCCCTACAAAAATTTACTCTTTTTGACAAAAATCCATCATTGTGTACTAATAATACCGCATCTATTCAAAATTTATAGGTTTTTTGTGGCTAGAAATATTTTTAGAGTAATAATAATGCAATTACATCTTGTATCTTTAGTCATTTGAACGTTTCGTATAGTTTGACTATCGGGAATTTCATTGAAATCAAGAGTAAATGAACGAAAGATCAAAGAGTGTTCACAGAATGATTTACATTCAAAGGAAAAACAACTTTTCAAACCACAGCAATGAAACGACAACAACAATAACACATATTTTTACTGTCAAAATGTTGATGTCAAATGGTGTCGACATTGGTGACGGTATTTTGAAACAGACTGTTTAATCCATATTCATCGTATATGATCCTATGTAAAGTTCTATACTTGATCTAGTTCACATTGACAGTTCAAATCGTTTATGTCCACTAGCGTGGACATGGACTGTGTGTTTCTTCTGTTACATGTACGTTGTAATGGACAAGTATAGTAAGTAACATGACGTCGTTCAAATAAATTTAAAAATCCGTCACTCGTGTCGACACCATCTAGCACGATAGTAGGGATTTCATTGCTGTGTTTCAAACTGTTCTAACTACTCAATTTGATTCATTTTGATCCAATAAGCAATTCTAATGTCACTTGAAAATAATCTGACTCGATTTTCATACAGCCATAGTGACTGATTTGCATGTATGTTTTTATCTCGCAATCAGTGATTCGTTAATTGCTATTGACACTAAGACTTACTTAGAGTAATGTGCTAGCCAGCATTTGCTGGCTAGCAGTGCTAGTGCGATACGCTCGACGCATGGAAGACGCGTGTCTATGTGAAAGAAGCATTCTATATGAAGCGCTATGTACGCTCGTACTTCGATTTATTTTATCCGCTGTACTTCTGTTATGTTTATGATTTTTTTAAAATAAAAACAGCAATAAAAATAAATCTTGGAATTGATTTTACTTGACTTAATTTTTTCTGGTTGTTTAAATCGGGATTCAAAAAAATATATTATGTTTGAAAAAAACCTACACAGTAAGCGTCGGCTGATATTTTCTTACTCTGCTCGCAATATCTCGAATGTACACTTTTTAAGTCCATTTTTATTGTTTGTGAATGTATATTGGAGGGTTTTTTGACACGAGAAACTTGAATCTGACATTTATTTTATGATAGAATGAATTTCGGACACGATCGGATTGGTCGAACTAACATTGGTGTAGTCCGACAGGTCCACGAGATTTACGGATCAAAATATGCATTGTTTAATCAGGTTTAATCGGTGTCATTTGTTCTTATTGTTTTATTACTTTTCCGCACACACCTAGTGTGTAAGGTAAAGTATTGGAATCGGTCGAAAAATTAACACCCTCAAAAAACATGTTTTCTGGGTGTTTTAGGAGCCAGGGAACACGAATCGTTTTTTCGATGTCCGAATATATGTGCGTGGCACCCTGTACCCTGTACGCAAATTTGTTAACAAGATAACTTTCAAACAAGAAAAGTTATTTGAAATCTGACTTCACAGGATGATTGGGGGTGCCAAGGAATAGGAACCATTAGATTTTAAGCGACTTTGGTTGATAGAGTGACGTGTCATGTCTGGTGTGATGCCCATGGCCATCCATGGGAAAAATTCAATTTTTCTTCCAAAAGTCGTATTTAATGTATTCTTAATATTCTGCTATTATATTGGCGATACAAATCATTTTCGACACACTTTTCATACGGAAATGTCAAAAAAATCGATTTTTAAATGGAAACCATGCCTGTATGATATCGTAATGAGCTGAAACTTTGCACAGGTTACTTTTATCACACAAAAATAACATTCTGAGAGTTTAAAGAAATATTATATACTACCAAAGGCTGTAGCGAAAAACAATTACTCCCATGGGCCCGAACGGGATATGTGGCGTAGGTAGTCTGGCCTAGGCCTGCACCGTAGCATATGTCGTTTGGCTCAACGCCTGCAACCCATAGTGATGTATCCTTGTAAGTTGAAAACTGTTCGTTGAAAAGAGTCAATCAAATCATATGCCAAATGTTTGTTTGGTAGATTATACTAATGGGAAGTCGTCACTATCTTCAGTGTTGTGACGTTAATAGACCGATGGAAATACGTAAGAAAATTTCAAGAGAAAGGAAATTTAATGCTTGAATTTGAATAAACCATCAAAAATGTACTTCCATTCTCATTATACTTATGGCAGATGCATAGCTTCTCAGAGAATTTGGCTAAAAAACCCTAGCAAATTGAAAAAAAATTTCTTTGCCAAAACCCTATCAAAATAGAATATATTCACCCACTTCAGAAAGTGAAGAGCAAAAAAGGTCTTCGCGAAAATTTCTAGCAAATCAAAAGAATATTTCGATTATTTTTCTCAATTTGTAAAGGGGTAATTCCCAAATCTGATCTCCATGGGGGGAATCCAACCCCTCGAATCCCTACTCAGAAGCTATGATCAGACATTGTTTCATAAGTGTATTCAAGTAACGAATTTATGAAAATTTGAAAAAAAAAATCAAATATAATCAAGAATCTTGATTCCCGAATATTTCATTGAAGAAAAACTTCTAACAAAATAAAATAAATCAATATTCAATGAAAGAATGTAGCATGCGCCGATTATATATAAAAATCATATGGAAATTTGGTCACACTTTATTTGTTCTATAAGCCATTTCATTGTTTTTTTACTTATTCCATTTATTTCTTTGTTTTGATTTTTTTCTTAAATTTTTCTTTAGTTTGAAATGAACGTAGTTTATATGCAGTTTTGGTACACTTGACATTTCTTAAACTTGATTTATTTAAAAGAAAAAGAACGTTAATTAAGTTATCTTGAAGAATTTTGGTGCGAGTTATTCCAATTGTGCGTTCTCCATGTACTTTTTCTCTCCTATCAATGTAAAATTTTCGAGTGTTAAGAAATCCATTTTATATAAACCATTAAGTGCAATAAATAGTTTGAATAAGTCTAAACGACAACAAATAGGTTTACTGGAAAAGAAATAGAAACATAAAGAAAAGACAAAAAATAAAGGAAGATATAAAGAACATTATGACACAAACTATGACCGAAACAAGTCAGCAACTGCAGGTAGTTGCGAATGAGGTCGTTTACCAAAGCTATCATTTTGGTGATACGGATTTCCTAGTACCACCTCGATACATTTCATTGAGCGCCCGTGGTATTGGTGCACAAGGTGCGGTCTGGTAAGTAGTCCCATAACACCGGGCAAAACCCAACTTAACATCAGACATGTAATAAATTACAAATGAATTTAACTTTCTTTCTAATCAAATTGCCATTTCAAGACTAACACCTTCTAAGTTCTCGAACATATTCATTAACCTTCGCCATTTTCATTCTATAAAATATTCTATCCAAAAACAGGCATTTCTTTAAAATACAGATATTGATTATGTATTCAGTAACAATGTACTTACTTTGATTGGTACTAAATTTAAATGCACTTATATTCGATTTAGCGTGAGCTATTCCTGTGAAATTGATTAATTATGGAAATTTTCAGTAAAGCAATTGATTTCGAATGTAGGCAACCATGAATTAGTGGCGCAAATTGATCGTAAGCTCGTTAATGCTCTAATCTATTGTTATTGATGAATAGCATTGTGGTTTATTTAAGATAAGACACTTTATATTCATTGAGAAAAAAATGAATATCAGTTACAGAAGATCATTTAATATTCGATATGCCATACATTTGAATCTAGTCTGAAAAATACAAGAATAATTTGTCTACTAAAATTCTATGCGCTTTTTTTCTGCAAACATATTAAATCAATATTATTGTTAATAAATTTTTATAATTATTATAATAAATTTCTTTACATTTACAATGTGTGCTCATCTGATATTTAATTTCATTTAGATGGCCTTGACCATTTACTCTAAAATTTAATGCTATGATAAATAATTTATTAATATTTCTCTCATTTCAGTGCTGCATATGATACGGTTACTCAACAGAATGTTGCTATCAAGAAATTATCCAGACCATTTCAAAATGTTACGCATGCCAAACGTGCATATAGGGAGTTTAAGCTTATGAAACTAGTTAATCACAAAAATGTAAGTGGTCATTTTTATATAATCTGAACGATAAAGGTGTTCACTTTTCTTTTAAATAACGATGAACATTCTGCGAAGTTAAATCCCTTTGTCATTGTCAAGCTGATTTCTGGCTTTAATTTTAACCAAAACGGACAGTAAAAACCGTAGCCGTGGTCTATCTGTGACGCACTCCCTGATTGCATTAAATCAAACGGCTTAACTATAGTTCAGGGACACATAAATTGGAGCGATTTTCTGTTTCTTTTTTGTATGTTATGAGTAGTTGGGAGTCTGGTAATGTGTTATCTGTGGTGTGATTTTAGATTTTACTTTTCCGCACACACTTAGTGTGTAAGGCGAATGTATTGCAATGGGTCAAAATTTACGACATCTCAAAAACATGTTTTCTGGACGTTTCTGAGGCAGAGAACCCGAATTAGGTCGTTTTGAGCATGGTTGTTGTGGGTCGCTTCCACGTCGTACGTCGTACGTTGTCCGCCGTACGCAAAATTTGTCCATCGATTATCTCACCCCCAGAAAAGTTATTTAAAATCTGACTTCACGGGATGATTGGGGGTCCCGAGGAATAGGAATCATTAGATTGTGAGCGACTTTGGTTGATGGAAAAAATTTTTATGCCTGGAGTGATACCTATGAAAAAGAGTCCAATTTTCGTCCAAAAGTCATACTTAATGTAGACTTAAAAACTCAAAAATATGTACTGGGGGGTTTTTTGGTACGAGAAAACCGAAT